GTTCCTCAGAGTCATGCTTGACACTGGAGGACATACCATCTGCTGGGTTCGATTTTGGTCGGTTCATTCTGTTGTGGTATGGATGGCGGATGAACCCAGAAGCAGACGGTGTGCAATCACAGATAGTTTATTGTAGACAAATAGGGGAAAAGCAAAAGCCCACGAGGGGGCAAAACAAGACTCTGACAAGGTGACAGACTAGACAAGGTACAGACAAAATTCTACTAAATAAACGACTGACACGAGCAATAGAAAACCAGGACAAATACTCTTCACAGGTAATTACAAACTTGGCACGGATAACACTTGGCAACATTTGTCAACATATGGCAATGAACCGACCCAGGACAGCAAACACAAGGGGATTAAATAGGGAACACTAATGACGAGGACAGGTGAGACTGACTAGACAATAATGACGAGACGAGGATAACAAGGGGGCGGAGTAAAGAAACGAGACAACACAAGCACATGGCCCAAACAGACCATGCGCTTGTACACAAAACATGATTCTGTCATGATCCTGCCTCATGACCAGAGAAAATCAACCACAAGAGGGCAGAATCATGACACTTAACCCCCGTGTCTCTGAGCAATTTCGTGACAGTATGACATTTGACGAATTGCTTTCTAAATATGTAGCCTAATAAATGTTAAAATGTAATGATTATTATTATTTGTGTAGGATACACGTACCCCAAAAATATTCCTTTTTTGAACTGCCTGAAAAACTTTTTTTAGCGATAAATGGGAGTTTTTGCGAAAATGACGTGTTTCCATAGTGCATATTTGCAATTTAATTTGCGCAATTTGAAGGGTAATGCAAAAGCGGCTATTAGCCCCCATAGGCTTCATGGTCGAGTTTATTTACAAGATCCGGCACTGAATAAAAAAGCCGATTTTGTCTAATTGGGTGTCAAATTTCATTCAACTTCCCCTCCACTAGATGCCAGAGATGTCATACTTCATACCCGACTCAAAAAACGTCATACTTCTATACAAAATGTTTGAGTTAGAGCGCATTGAATCAGTGCGACAAAAGCAGAGCTAGTGTGCCATTTTATCAGAGCCTCTCCACGATCGCAGCGACAGTATTGTGGTGGAGACTTTGTCTAATGCCATTGGGTATGTTAAACGAGGTCAAAGTATTCATAGGACAGTTAGAGGGCAGGGTGGGGAGTCGCAATGACAATGACAGTAATCCGAGCTGTGCACGCGCGAGGCAGATCTGGCCGCGCTGCTTGTATCATCTCACTCATGACCTGTGTCTTGCTGTGGCGAGTGAGGTTTTGAACTAAACAGGCCTTGTTTACTTGTGTTTCCATTCATATGAATAATATATTTGTGCTCCATACATGGAATCAGAGTGCATACTGTATTAAATGGAAAATCTTTACAGAAAAAGGCAAATTGCAACATGCATTCAGTTTGTTTCTAGCATTTATTAGTAATGATTTACACAGTTTGTTTACTACTTACTACTGTATACCTGAGCTTTCAGTATTGGGCAATATAGCATACAGAAAATGAGGGACATTTAGGGGGGAAGGAGTGCTGCATTTTATCATTTAAACGTGACTTTTCATGAAAATTATATAATCCAAGGTTACCGTCCCCATATGATGTCATAATATGCAAATTAGATGGGAAAATATAATCCCTACATAAACTTGGGGTCATCCTTAATAATTCTCTAATTTACAGAAAGTCTCTATCTTTTATCACTTTTAAGATGTAGCCTATTGAAATTAATATAAAACAACTTTAAAAACCTCTGGCAAATAATGCAGGACTAATGATTAGTTTTGCATCCCTGTTGCCCCACGTCTTCACGAATGTCGCGGAGGCTGCCATTGTTCCACTCTGAGAACAAGGTGTTCGTCTTTTCAACTATCTCGAGGAATGGCTGATTCTGGCTCAGTCTCGGGATCGCATGGTGCTCCTCACCTCAGCCTGTTGCGCCTTCGGGGTTAACTGGGACGAGAGCAAACTCTCCCCTGTGCAGAGGATATGTTATCTAGGTATGGAGTTGGACTTTATCAATAAGACAGCATGACTCACAAAGGAGAGTGTCCGATCAGTGTTGAACTGCTTGAGTACAATCAAGAGCAGGACAGTGGTCCCACTGAAACTTTTTCAGTTTCAGGAGCAGTTTCGGGTCCGTGGACGGGGCCTCAACTGCATTGGCACATAAATTGCATTGAGTTGCTCACAGTACCCCTTGCGCTGGGCCACCTTAAAGGTTCGCTACAGGGTAAGCACCCCAAGGCAACATTCGTACAGACAACACTGCGACCATTGAGTACATCAACCGCCAAGGTGGTCTACGCTCCCGCTGCATGTTGCACCTCACCCGCCATCTCTTCCTTTGGAGTCAGATTCTTCTGAGGTTGCTTGATGCCATTTACATTCCTGGCATCAATTGTGCAGCCGACAAGCTCTCACGACAGCCTAGTCTTCCAGGAGAGTGGCGTCTCCATCCCCAGGCAGTCCAGCTGATATAAGACTTCTTCAGAGCCGCACAGATAGATTTGTTTGCCTCTCCGGACTTGATCCATTGCCAGTTGTTTCACTCCCTGACCGAATGGAACCCTGGGCATGGATGCACTGGAAAACAGCTGGCCCCAGGGCCTGCGCAAGTATACATTTCCCCCAGTGAGCCTTCTCAAACAGACACTGTGCAAACTGCAGAGTCAGGGAGGACGAGCAGCAGGTCTTGTTACAGTAGTTGTGCCATGTTGGCCCAGAACTGAGTCCTGCTTCCCAGAACTCATGCTCCTAACGACAGCACTTCCTTGGCCCATTCCTCTGTGGAAGGACCTATTTTCTGCACTGTATGGCACCAGCGTCCAAACCTCTGGAAACTCCATGTCTGGTCCCTGGATGGGATGCAGAGGCTGTCTCCAAGCAGAGGATGGCCCACTGGATAGTGGATGCCATCGCCTTGGCATATGACAACGCATTCTCACTCCCCGGGCGTCAAAAACTGAAGCATGGTCAAGGTCCTTCCGAGTCACAATAAAGACGCTAAAAGTACCCCAAGGCGTCAGTTAGTTGACGATTAAGGAACTCCATTGATTTCAATGGCTTGCCTTATGCATCACATTAAGACGCAAAAGGTAAATTAGATCCTACGTCATCGCAATTTTCTAAAACTCTGGTAAGAAATAAATGAGCCTATTAAATTTATGTTTTTTTAAAGCCAAGTTTCTATAGCTACATAGATTTATTTCTTGCTGTCTATAAATCCTCGTTTTAATATTATTTGTAAAGACTTTTATCTGGAAACCCCAGCAACTTCAAAGCATTAAAATCCATAATGCATGCTTATACATATATTTGCGTTTTTAAAATGCATCATTAAATGATTGTTTAGGTCTACTGTGAATTCAACATTGTATTGTCTCTGGTATACATCTGGCCTGTTTCTTATTGTGAAAAAATGGGAATTATTAAACCACACACACATTTATATGTATAATGTTTAATGTATTTTTTACTGCTATTTGCTCTGTATGCTATTTTTCTAATAATTAAATTATCATCTCGCTATTAATGTTACCTGTAGAATATTATCACGTGTATTATCGATATTTCGTGCTTTTACCGGCATGGTTCTTGTGTTGGCCAATCAAAACATAACTCTATGCGTCAGTATGAAGACGCCGGAAGTACCCCTAGGCGTCACTTTATTGACGATCAAGGAACTCCGTTGATTTCAATAGCTTGCCTTTTGCGTCAGATTAAGACGGAAAAGGCAAATTAGCCCGGTATCAGATCTTCGTCATCGCAATTTTCTAAAGCTCTGGTAAGAATTAAATGAACCTATTAAATTAATGTTTTTTTTATAGCCAAATTTCTATAGCTACATAGATTTATTTTTTGCTGTCTATAAATCCTCGTTTTAATATTATCTGTAAAGACTTTTATCTGGAAACTCCAGCAATTTTTTGACTGCTATTTACTCGTTTGGCTATTTTTACATTCGAAGCCTGAAACATTATTAAAATAATTATCAGCTCGCCATTAATGTTATCTGTAGAATATTATCACGTGTATTATCGATATTTCGCGCTTTTACTGGTTCTTATGTTGGCCAATCAAAACAAAACTCTAACACAAAATCAACAGGGAATTTTTACAATTATAATTGTTGGTTTATAATGAAGACATTTTAAATATTGTAGCCAACTTTTAAAAATAAAATAAAAAGTAAAAGAAAGCAATTCCACCAAAAAAAAGTCTTCTTCTTCTTCTTCTTCTTCTTCTTCTTCTTCTTCTTCTTCTTCTTCTTCTTCTTCTTCTTCCTTTTTCTGGTATCTCGCGGTAAATCCTGTCGCACTTTCCAACGCGATACCTCGTCTTTGCACGGTAGGTTCTGTTACAGAAATGGATGGATTTATTGTACTTTTGTGTATCATGTTCGCACGTCTATCAAGGTTGTTATATGTCAGGACATACTATAACGATATACAAGACGGGTGCTAATGACACCTGAAGCTATGGTGCTAATTGGTTCCAATTAGGCGGCCTACGTCAAAACCAAGTGTTAGCATGTTAGCTAATATTAGACATTCTCTGCTAATATGCTACGTTATCATTTTGGGCATTATCAGATACTTTATGACCTGGTAACGTATTTGTGTTAGACTGCCATAGAAAAGTTAATCTGAATAAGGATGTTAATACTTCGACTAAACTGAAAATAAGATTAAATTAAAACTATAATAACTTGTAGTTATTTATTTATTTTTATTCATTTAGATAACCTAAAATATCAGTACTATTTACAGTCAATAGTATATGATCATTAAATAAACTTTTTTTTGTAATAACTTTCATTGTTTTCCCATTGGCTATATAACAAACCAAACAGCCCTTTTAAGAGCTTATCTATCTATCTGTCTATCTGTCTGTCTTTCTGTTTACCTCATCTATTTGTCTTTGTGTTAATCTGTGTAAGAGTATTTCTCTATCTGTCGAGTGTCTACATTCACATGATGGACTTTGAGTTCGAAGAAGAGCTGAAAAGTACTGATGAGCTCCTTGAAAACTTACAAGCTCAAGAGGTAAAATAAAGTTATTCTACAAGCATTGAGTTTGTTACATTTTCTTAAAATTTCCTGTTTATTATCCTGTTGAAGTCACAATCAATATTAATTTCACAATGATTGTTACTTTATTGGTCAATAGCATGCAGTTAATAACCCTAACAAGACATTAAGTGATATTTCTTGAATTGTTGGCTTGTCATTATGCTCCTAGGAAAGACTGGGCACCAAAAGCAATGTGCAGCCTCGACCCACATCCCCTACTGTTCACTGGAGAAAGAGGAACAACCAAGGGGAAATAATTTACAAATATTCAAGAGCCAGAAGGGCAGCTGTAGGACGTAAGTACTGTATAAGGTACTCACTGTATAGACCATTTCACAAGATGTAAACAACACTGGTCCAATAACACTTCCTGTTTCAGTTTGTTACTGTTTTCTTTATTTCACATGTAAAGAAAAAATCTTAAAGATGTTTGTTTAACTTTTTGATTCAGTTTTAAATGTTCTGTTGGTTGTATTTTATCCCAGCTTTTATGTAGTGTTAAAAAACTGAAACAGGAAGTGCTTCTGGACCAGTGTTGTTTACATCTTGTGAAATTAAATATATGTATAATGCTCCATGTGTGGCAGCCAAAAAAATCCATACTATATATTTATATGCAATTGCTTCTTAATTGTTTGCTGTGCAATATTGAACATTATGTAAAATTGTGCTTATGTTTTGTAAATATGACTAAGAGGAGACCACAATGACATTTCTGATAATGTTTAGCTACATAAAAATTATGCTGTGTTTATGTGTATCTCTATATGTGTTTATTTCTTTTTTTTTTTTAGCAGGTCCGCTTGTTATGGAAGATGACTTGAATGTTGGCCCTGCAAAAGCCCCCAAGACAGCTGGTATACACTGAAGCAAAATATTGATTTGTGGTTGATATTTAATTGGATTTTTTTATATAGATGTGAATAATTCTTTCATTAGAATTTCAAGTGCATACACAGTTGTATACTTTTAGGTGTAAATCTTTTAAATATGTTCATTAATTTGACTTAGATACCGTTCTTGAAGAGCTTAAGAGGCTGTTGGACACTGAGAAAGGTGATGCTAATTTTATGCCAATTCAAGATGATTACCCTCGTTTTTTTTTTTGTTTTTTTTTAGCAGGTCCGCTTGTTATGGAAGATGACTTGAATGTTGGCCCTGCAAAAGCCTCCAAGACAGCTGGTATACACTGAAGCAAAATATTGATTTGTGGTTGATCTTTAAATGGACTTTTTTATATAGATGTGAATAATTCTATCATTAGACTTTTAAGTGCATACACAGTTGTATGCTTTTAGATGTAAATCTTTTAAATATGTTCATTCATTTGACTTAGATACCATTCTTGAAGAGCTTAAGAGGCTGTTGGACACTGAGGAAGGTGATGCTAATTTTATGCCAATTCAAGATGATCAACCTCGGTCTGCATCCAATGACTGGGCCATTAGAACTGAAATGAGGGAAGAGAGATGGAAAGAAACTAGATCTTCACTTGTGGAGAACATTTTGAAAGGAGAGGATGCAAGTTCCTCATCCTGCCAACAGTGCAGATCAAGTGCAGCTGTTGTGCGCTGTAGGGACTGTCTCCCTTACCCTTTCCTCTGTGCAGGCTGTGATGAGAAAAGACATGGTAGCTTCTTTGTTCTCCATAATCGGGATTCGCTTGTCTCAGGTTTTGTACAACCTTTACCTCCATCCACAGGATTCTGCCAGGAAGCTGGTCAAATTTCTGTTAAACATCTTGGTAAGATAATGTTATGCTATGTTGTATTGTTGTTGTTTTATTGTGCTCGTAATATATCATGTTTTTAAATATATCTTCTTTGTTGCACAGTTCGACTGCTGCCTGTAGAAATACCTGCCCATATTTGTGATTGCAGTAATGGGACAGTCCTTGTTTCTTCAGGCAGGCCCATGATCCTCATCACTATGAATGGAAAGGAAGATTTTGCATCATATTTTTTTTCTAATATTACCATTTCCTTATTGTCTTGTAATTTCATGTAGCTTGTTTTACTCATTTAGGCCGTTACAACCTTAACATGCCTCATTTGTCCTGTGCTTTGTGTGGGCATTCACGAGAGACGTCTTTGTCAAAACTTCAGAGGAGTGGTTACTGGCCTGGCAACATTCCTGCAAGTTTGCTGTTCACAACAGATGTGCTTGTCTCGTTTCAAGAGATGAAAATGGCATCACCAGGGATGTCTTTTCAAGCATTTGTTAAAATGCTTGATGGGAAAACAAATCTTTTTGGTAGAGTAAGTATTTTATTATTTTTTTTTATTTGTTTTATCATTAACCACTGGCAAGTTAAATTACCGTGCTATTTTCTTTAAAGATAATACAAAATATTTTCATGTATATTATATGTAATCACTAAGATATTTAGTATAGTGAAAATGTTTACAATATGAAAATAAATACAATATGATTCTCAATTCAGCTATTTAACCAAGAAAATGGTTTCTTTCTCAATATGAAAATTATTCCTTTTTTTTAGACTATGCTGACTTTAAATGGGCATGGTCTTTACACTAGCCTTAAATGATGTTAAACAGACTATCCTTTATGACTATCCTTAAGTACTTTCAATACTACATATAATCAATCATGGTATACTCAGTAAAACACCAGTATTACATGTGATTCATTTTGCAGAGTGGGAAAATACCTGCCAATGTGTTTAGCTACAGTTTTAATGAATGGGTTGCAGCAAGATATGCAGTGGAAAAGATGTGCCAGGAGGAGTTTTTCACTTGTCCAGCATGCACTCCAGACATGCTAGCTGTATGTGTTGATGGAAATCGCAAACACTATCGGTTTAAAAACACAGCAAGGTACTTTTATTTATTTTTTTAATTAAAGTGATTTTCTTAATTTTGAATGATGTGTTAATGTATGTTCTGAATGTGTTCCTCGATAGCACAGAGAAAAGGGGACTACTTGACCATGTTTTTATACAGAGTGATGTGGAGGTGTCTGACTTTGTGGACTTTGTCCGCAAAAACAATGATCATGTAAGTATTATGATTTATGTTTGCAGATATTACTGGATAATTTAATTTACAGCTTTTCTCAAACAACTTTACACATTCCTTAAACTAAAATATTGCTAAGAAAAGAATAAGAAGAAATGTGATGCCCTCTGACAACATGCTATGTGCATTTTACATTATGACTACTTGAGATATTTGTGTTCATTGTTTTAACATTAGCTTGAATTGAAGCAGTTGGAGATTGAGTTAAATGTTATGTTCTTAAAAAACGACACAGTCAATATGTACAATACATGGTGAGATGGATTTGTTTGTTCGAAGCATTATTCATTTTTGAGAAATCTGTAAACTCATTTTACAAAAGCTAAAGTGAATGTTCTATAAATATTGAATGTTTTTTTATTGATCAGGTGTAAAGTCCTGTCACATTTAGAGTGGTCTACTTAGCATTTGTTTTGAGATTTTTTTAAATTTTTATAATTGATATGATATAGGTCTCGGGAAGAGGATTGTGTGGCGCATCACAATGGACAGCAGCAAAAGAACTGGCCAAAAAATCAAGCAGCAAACTGGATGAGGAGGGATTAGAGATTGCTGTCTGTCGCCATGGCATTTTCCTTATGGCCTTAAACATGTTCCGAGGGGAAATTTTTGCTTACCCCCTTTTTCTACAAAAAAAACTTGCTGACATGTCACAAGGGAAGATCAAATTTTTCTGTTCAGATGTTGCCTGCAAATACTTCCCTTATGTCCAACGTGTGTCTAAACAGTGCCCCGAGCTGCAGTCTTTACTGGACATGCATCCTTTTCTGTCTGTGATGCATGCCAAAGCACACTCTTGGAAATGTGAGGTATATTGCCAGGTGTTTTAAGTATGTAATTAAGAATGCAGAAATTTTGAGTGCATTAATTTTGTCGGATTTAAAAACATGTTAGGTCAAGTACAGTGGGGCCTACCAGGAAGGAGCTGGGTCAACAATTGGTGAGGAAGTTGAGCAGGTGAACAGCTTCCTATCCAGAATTGCTGTCACAAGCAAGTACATGTCGAAATCAGGTTTGTTGAATTAGGTATGATTAATGCAGAATGACTTGTTGTATACCTCTCATAACATTTTCTTATATTTATTTTATAGGCAGAACAGACATGATAACAATGCAAGCCATGTCCTGGAATAAGCGTAAGGTGTGGAATTTGGGACAAGTTCTAGTAAACAGATATATAAAGGTATAACTTCATTCTCAGTCACAGATTGCAGTTAGGATTTTTAGGTTTTACTAATTTATTCTTATCTAAATTAAAGGTGTAAAAAGTAAGCAATTTCTGGGGGGAAAAAATGCTGTTGAAAGTGGATCAGACCGAGCATCACAACACTCTAGATTTCAATCATTAGGGCCGTGTATACTCATGATGGGGGAGAAGAGAGTGAGAGAAAGAGGGGGGGGGAGACATTACAAAAGAAGGGAATATCACTGAAAAAAACAGCAGTGAAGGGAGGGGTGTGCTTGTTTGAGTTGATTTTAAGCATCCAGTGTTTCTCAGAAATTGCTTGCTGTACCTGAAAATGTAACACAGTCTCATCCCAAGACGTCATACTACTGACGCTTTTGACCGTAGGTCAACATCCGCCGTTTTAGGGTACCCTTTAACGTCAGTTACAGTACATGACGATCCTGGGACGTCATACAACTGACGTTTTACCTTTAACGTCAATTAGGTTTAGGTCTGGGGTAAGGTTAGGATTAGATAATGTCATCTTACCGATGTTAAAGGGTACCCTAAAACGGCGGATGTTGACGTATGGTCAAAAGCGTCAGTTGTATGGCGTCATGGGATGAGGCTGCGCGGGAAAATCAGGACTTTTTAAATTTGACTTTGTATTTTGTAGACTCAGAAGGCTCTTCAAGTGCAGCAACACAACTTGGAGGCATTGAAGACAGAGCTATCACTTCATGATGATATTGTTCATCAGTGGGTTTCAGATGTACAGCAATGGGCAGAAGGTATTGTTTTGATTTGTTTTGGTATTATTCTTATGATTGGCATGATGAATACATAAAGCTGCTTTTTTGTGCGTGTAGAAAATGATCGACATGGGAGTGGTGATGCGAAAAGTTTGCAAGAAGAAATAGAGGGACTAACGGTCAGCATCAAAAGGCGTACACAGCGTCTGTACAGTCAAACAGGTGAAACACAAACATTGGAAATTTACCATGATATTTTTTAACTGTTATTAGATGTCACATTGCATATGCATGTATTTTTTGTAGCTAAAAAAGTGTTGTAATGCCTAATACTTTTTTATATTTTATTCAGATAGCAACAAGCGGCGCCATACTTTGCGTCTCCGAAGGAGTGAGGAGAAAAAGAAGCTAGCTGCTGCAGTGGAACAATACAACAGCATAGTGGATCCATCCCAGCAGCTTGGCTCAGTTGAAAGTTTCTTTACAGCTGAGACTGTTGCTTGGCCTTGGCAAATCCCTTGCAGTACTGGTATGTTCTATATAACAGTGGTATTCAATTATTTTCCGAGAGAGCCACAACTAGCAGAGTTAAGTTCCAACCCTGACCAGACATATCTGCCTGTAATAATCATGCAATGTTGACCAGGAACAAAATTGAATAGCCCTATTCTGTAAGACAAGTCTATGTAATTTTTTATGAGCAGGCACTGTATATAGTGACTCTTTTGTTAACCTTCTTTCAGAATCGGCTCCATTTGTCACCAAGAGGAAGGTGTTCGACAAGGTGATGGCTGTGAGACGCCTTCAGGAAGAGGGAGGTCTTATTTGTAAGGAGATGAAACAGCATTACACGGTCTTGACACACAAGCTGTCCAAATTTGAAGCACTGATTAATGAGATAAGTTCAAAATGTAAGCCTTTAAACGTTCATTTATTTGTGCTTGTATATGTAGTATTGTATTTTTTCTTAATGTATCTTTTTGTTTTTCAGCTCTTTTTTCAACGCTGTGTGACACTGCACGCAAAGGTCTCCTGTGCTTTGTTCGAAAGAAACATTATGAACTTAGACATTTAATGCAGTTGGTGAAGGCGAGCTATGTGAACATTTTCAGCCAACAAGATTTGATTTCTGAAGAAGAGAAGCTTGAACAGGAAGATGAAATGGAAGAGGAAGGGTTCTCAGAAAGTGACAACAGCTCAGATGATGAACATGATTTTCCTTAATAAGGCACATTTAAGCGGGGTGCACACTGTATGAATTTATTCACGATTTGCATATCCTAGAAGATTCCTCTGAAGATTTGACTTCTACTACCGATGACTACCATAAAATTGTCCTAGTTTTTCAAGATAGTCATTACCAAAATTAACATTAGGAATGTATTCCACCATCTCAATCCTGAGTATAATGCAGATCGCTGTCACCATACATCATTAATTAATGATGTAAACCTCAAGGGGACTATTAAACAGGGTTCAGTGTGCACACAGCTTTAGAATAAATTACACAATTCTGTTAACGCAAAACCCTTAATGCAAAGATAATTCCAGATGATTGGGAGTGTGAATCAGACTTTGCCTTTAATTGTCACATAGAGCTTTTAGATCAGAAGGCTTGTTTGTTGTCTGCTGGTGTTCACTGTGTCAACTGTTATGTGATTGCTTGATGCAAGTGTGTATTTGTTTGACCAATAACCTTATAAATTCCACATGGCTAGTTTCACATTTAACAAAAATAATTTGACTATTAAGATCAATGGAGCTGTCTACACATAAAGTCTTCAGTCTATATTCAGTGTGCATATATTGACAGTTACATATTGTGCTTGTCCAAATGAAATAAAATGTACTCCAAAAATATATACAATACTCAAAAGAAACTGGTATATTCACACATGGTCTTATAATTCTAGATCAGATGAATGTGCCCTGGTAAGTACGTGTACTTACAATGTAAAGAACTTTGGCCAACATGTGTTTTTAATGTATTTTACAAATAAATGAGGATTGATTGATGGAGCTTTTTTTATTATTAATTGTTGGTTTAATCAAATAAACTATATACAATTTCCATGACTCTTACCGAGACAATCTTTTTTTCTCTTTTTTTATTTTTTTGGCTGTATCAATGACATTTGGGACAAACCACCAAAATATTATCATTGCACATACCTGTTACAGTGACAAATAGACTAAATATGCCAAATTGCATTGACATGGATGGAAGGCTGAAAACTCCATTACAAGAGGTTCAAGTGCTATATAGCTAAAAAGACACTTAAAAAGATAGTTCACTTTGAAAATAATTTTTGATATGTTTGTTTACCTCAAGGGCATCCAAGATGTAGGTGTCTTTGTTTCCGCAGTATTTTCAATTTTCTATATTTTTAGGTCAAACTTCTTGTCTGTCAGTCATATAATGGAGGTCTATGGTCACCACCTCAAAGAGCATGCACGGAGAAGTCCAAATTAAACATGATTTAATGACTCGCAAATGTAAGTACACATTGATGGCCTAAGACACGAAAAGAGCGGTTTGTGTGAGAAAACAAAACAGTAATTATGTTTTACCTCCTGTAAGCCCACGTCCTCAGATCACTTTGACATGGCTGTGGTTACAAGAGGTAAAAACGATATAAATATTTTTCGTTTTCTCACACAAACCGCTCGTTTTGTCTCTTAGGCCACCAATGTGTACTTACATTTACGAGTCATTAAATCATGTTTAATTTGGACTTCTCTGTGCATGCTCTTTGAGGTGGTGACCATAGACCTGCATTAAATGACTGACAGACAAGAACGGTTTGACCTAAAAATATAAAAAATTAAAATACTGGAAACAAAGACACCTACATCTTGGATGCCATTGAGGTAAACTAAAACATATCAAAAATTAATTTCAAAGTGAACTATCCCTTTAAGGCACAACTTGAATTCAACATAGACCCTTTACTCAATTATAAGCAAGATTATGCAAAGTACTGATGCCCAACATTTAAAGAGGACGTTGTACTATTGTTCTGGTTCCACAGGACAAAGTCGTTGCTTGAGAGATAAATAGAGAAGCTCATTCCAGGTCCTTCTGTGACTATGAACTGGATAATAATTAGTTGGCTAGTCTGTAGCCTAGTAAGATTATTTATTGCTTTTACAACTTTACGGTCAAATATTTCTGTATTTCATCATATCCCATTATACCCATCAACAACTAATACAAGCATGATGTAAGGAAAAGTGTGGAAAGAGAAAATACAGTATTCAAGTATAATATTTCAAATGTGATTCAACACAGTTTGTTGTTCTTTGACTTGTTGCCCATTACTGTTGTCCATGACAATTGTTGTTGTTGACTGCATTCATTCATGTATAAGATAATATGTGTATGTTTATGCACATGTTTTACTGTCCTTACACCCCATGGGCACATATAGGGCTATCCGAAAGAGCAAAAAGAAGCATATTTCAAATAACTGTTAATCAAAGTCTTACAATTTATTCTGTTTACTCAATGACATCTGGTTAACTAGATAATGTTGGACAAATTTTTCAAAAAGGCATTTAAGTACTCACAGTAAAATAACAAAATTCGGCCTGCCTCTAAAATATGTCATTGGGGTCTGGACAATGAACATAATAAGACATGCCTTTGTTCATTAAAGATACTAATTATTTACTTTATTTGCTAAACATTTTAAAATAAATTACCCATACGCCTCAGTCATTTATTGATGGAGCAGGGAAACATGGCACTGCTATTTGTTGTTCATTGTGGTGTATAGTCACACTTAGGGTTAGGGTGATCTCTGTAAATTAGCAATTTCTCTCCACATTGCAACACCCTAATGTTAACTTAATATATTATTGACTTAATAATAACGGCAAAATAATTTTAAATGGCTTTGAGACCTCAAAATGTCCAAATTTGGCAGAGAAAACATACAAATGAATTATCCATTAAGAGATGGCAAGGATGAAATCAGAACAAGATAAAGCTGCTGGAATGTAAATTTGGGATAGCATAGTGAAAACATAGAAAAACATATCATATCTGACAGAAAATATGTAGTGTAGCCTAGTGTATGTATGTGTCCATGGTTACATTTAGATAGGCTACGTATATTTGACACTAAATTGTCCATGTAGATGACTGTGTTAATATTTATTTGTCTGTCTGTGTTGCCATCAAATAGACTGACAATCTGTTCTGTTTGTTTCCATTCATTAAGCTCAAAGACGCTGGCACTGACTCCCGCAATTTTTTTTTCTTCTTCTTCTTTTTCAAATTTTTAGACCGTTGAGCTTTGTAGCCAATCACAGCCATTTATGTTGTGCCATCGACGCAATGGCCAATCAGAGGTTTTTACGTTTGACTCATCAGCATCACAACATGAAAGGATATTATTATGAATTATAAAAACAATGTTAACAAAGACATGTCGTACTTTATACTACTGGCAACAATGTTTATTAAATAAAACAAACATATGTTTCATCCGAAATTCAAATGCAATATATAGGCTAATTACTAATCCCGTTACCAATTAATGCTGCCACACTTATTATTGTAATATTTTATCCCATGCTATTCGCATGTTCTGTCTGTATAAAGCAATTTTAACAAATTAACGTTTTATCTGTTATGTCAAACTTGATCTATATGAAGTCTCTGCAGACAGTGTAAGTACTGACTACTAGACTTGGCAATTTGTTCATTTTATAATCTTTTCACTTTACCGTTTTAAAGCAATGTTTACTTAATTGATTACAATATTTGAATGCTATATGCTAATATTTTATTAAAAGTTTGCCTGTTAACATTAGCATGAATAGTCTTTTTTTTCTAAATAGTTAAATATACTGTTATAGTTCATTATTTATAATAGTTTTTTTTTCTTTTCTTTTTTTGACATGGTACCTCAGTTGGTACCATGAACAACCATTTTGCTATAAATAACACTATCAATTCAATAACATTTACCAGATGATCATGTAAAGATGTAATAATGTCCAGCCTTTGTAACACCCAGGTGAAAATATTACTCCAAAATGGAATTCCAGGGGAAAATAGACACTCACAGTACCAATGTTTTATCATTTATTTAACATTAATTAGCATAAAAGTGATTTTTTTAAGTGAAAAGTAATCAATCGATTGTTAGATTTATTCGGAAATGGCAAAGGTATAAACAGCATGTAAAAACAGTTACAAGCAATAAAAGTAGAAAAGAAAACAAGAACAACAAACACAGTAACTTAACCAAGATTAGTAACTTAAGTTATTAGTAACTTAACAACTTAACCAAGACAGGTACAAAAACATTACACTGCACTTTATTCTGGGAAGAAAAGATTGTAGGGCTCCCAGGTGTCCGTCCATTTCATCCCACTGCAAATCAGTAAAAAAATAAAGATACAAAACAATCATATAAAAAATTCACAGAACAGGCTATGACATGTAACTAATTAAAATATATTGACTTTTTGAAGGGCAAAAATATTTTTGCATTCAGTTAAGACAATTAAAGACAAAAATGTAAGCAAGAAATATGTATTAGGCTCAAAATGAATTAGTAAAAGTTTATTAGTTTATTAAGTTTATTTTTAATTATGTTTTGATTGATACTGTGCAGCTGCTTTGATGCAATCTATATTGTGAAAAGCACTATATATATATATATATATATATACACATACTTGACTTGACTATTATAAGACGCAACACTTAATATCCAAGATTTTAACAACAGGTTTATCTCATGTGTATAATTATCATAGATTATCATAGTGCATCCTTATACAGGTTTTATGTGATACATACCATCCTGAACAAGGCTTCCATCTCACTTTGACCTCTCTGACACCCTTTAAGAAACATAAGCAACATTAACTGTTAGTAACACACACACACACACACACACACACACACACACAATTAAAATTTACATTATTTAAAAAAAAAATCTTACGTTTCAAACTTTTACTAAGGAATACATTTCTGAAAAAACATTTACAAAATATAAGTTCTATCTTACTTTCTTTGACATCCTCCTCCTTATGATCTTGTCATATGGAAATGTTTTTAATCTGGGATGTACTTGGCATTCTACAAAAGAAAAATATAAAAGGCTATAATATATAATCAGAAAATGTTTACACTCATGATATACTAACAATTCAGTAAGCAATTTTTATGCAATGGGATGGCCACCTGAAACCCTTCAGAAATGGGCTTTATGCCCAGCTGCACTACTTCCTGAACTTCAGCCAGCTCCTTGTTTCCTGTATGCCATTATTGGACAAATTGATTAATTCAGGTGTACCTGACCTCAGTAGTCATGGCAACAATAATCAGACACACCTGAATTAATCAATTTGGCCAATAATGCCAGACAGGAAACAAGGAGCTGGCTTAAGTTCAGGAAGTAGTGCAGCTGTGTATAAAGCCAATTAGACCATCTGAAGTAAAAATTAGACCATCTGAAATTAGACCATCCGTAGTACAGTTTGCTTTGAATTGGTTGTGTGGTTTGGTAATAGTGCACATTATGAACCCAAATACACCCATGGATGACATGATTTTTACATTTGTATAATGGCAAAAAAAAAATTTAACCATAAAGGCACTGTGCACTGTCATTAGGAGCTGCTTATCTTGTATGGTCATTACAGTATGGAGAGCATAACATATCGTATTCTGACAGCAAAACAGCATGCAAATAAAATTCTTTTCTCTTCCGTCAGAGAAATATATATTACTTCCGCTCTCTTAAAAATAATTTCTCGATCAATAATTTAAACTAGGGCTTAAATATAAGTTCCATTAATAGAATGAAATTTGTTTGTAAATCATTATTTAAAAGTATTTACTTAAACAGCAACAATGCACACAGGAATAGTATGACACCTGTGCGCATTTAAACGCATGTTTTGCAATCAAGATGTAAGTTTGAACATTGAAGGAGATTATTCCAGTTTATGCACATTCAGTTACATATAAATATTACACTTCATAGACATTATTGTCTATTATTAGTTATGGAATTTAACAATATCTTACGACTTTAAAAAAAGCCTTTTAAAAATTACATTGAAAAAAGAAACTTGTGTTCTACTTTGTAGTTAGTCAGTTTAAATAAAAAAATGCAAATACACAAAACCTGCTTGTTTATACATCCATTTCCCTTGTTTGCCTCCTGTCCTTGGAATTATTGTGGAGGAATTGTCTGTAAAACACACACACACACACACACACATGAACACAATGTAAATATTTACTCAAATTTGAGTCAAAATACAGTCAGAACTAAATCTGGATTACAACTAATAAAAAAAACTAACAAATAATGCATTGACTTTCCTACAATTGGGAATATAACTTTGTTCAAGCTTAAATATAACTTAATGCATGTTTTACAGTTTTTGTAAACAAAAGTAAAAGAAAAAAATCACCTGCATCATTGGGCTTAGATGGGGCAGCATGACTGCTCTGGCAGTGGAGTGAAGGGTTTGTAGATGGAATATTTGAATCGTAGAAAGAATGAGGAGGGGTGTTGCAAGAGGAGGTAGGAGTAGGGGTGGGGGAAAATGGTGTAGGAGGACGAGTGGGGAAAGAAGAGGTAGGAGGAGGAAGGGTGATGTAAGAGGAGGTAAGATGAGGAAGGTTAGAGGATGAAGATGGAGAAGGAAGGGTGTCAAAAGAAGAGGAAGAAGGAGGAAGGCTGGAGGAAGAAGATGGAGGAGGAAAGGTGTAGAAAGAGGGTGAAGAAGGAGGAGGAGGAAAGGTGTCAAATGAGGAGGAAGGAGGAGGAAGGCTGAAGGAAGAAGATGGAGGAGGAGGGGTGTAGAAAGAGAAGGAAGGAGGAGGAAGGCTGGAGGAAGAAGACGGAGGAGGAGGAGGAGGAAGGGTGTCAAATGAGGAGGAAGGCTGAAGGAAGAAGGTGGAGGAGGAGGAGGAAGGGTGTCAAATGAGGAGGAAGGAGGAGGAAGGCTGAATGAAGAAGATGGAGGAGAAGGAGGAGGAGGAGGAGGAAGGGTGTCAAATGAGGAGGAAGGAGGAAGGCTGAAGGAAGAAGGTGGAGGAGAAGGAGGAGGAGGAGGAAGGGTGTCAAATGAGGAGGAAGGAGGAGGAAGGCTGAATGAAGAAGATGGAGGAGGAGGAGGAGGAGGAGGAGGAGGAAGGGTGTCAAATGAGGAGGAAGGAGGAGGAAGGCTGAATGAAGAAGATGGAGGAGGAGGAGAAGAAGACTGGTTCTGGCAGACATTTTCAGCAGTACTGGTGTGGTTTTGCATCCTCTGGTATTCTATGAGGGGTTTTTTGAAAGAAAATTAGAAAATATTTCTTTGAATATTATATATGTAGATCATATTAACGAAATACTTACTTTTAACAAAAAATTCATAAAGGTTAGTCATCTTTTCAAAGATGGTTTGAAGTGGTCCATCAGCAAATGGACCCATTGTAGTGATGACATCAGCCACGAACCCATTTTTTCTCTCTTTAGAAATGAAGAGAATTGGCTTATAGCCAAGTACCTCCAATTTCTTAACCTGTAAAAACAAATGCAGACAGTTGATAAATATCAATGTATTTATAATGGTAAGCAGGGACTTACCAGACAATTCTGTAGCAAATCAACTGGATTATCAAAGTAAAAGGGAAAGGTGTCTAAATGCTCAAAAGTAATGTAGCAACTCATAATGTAAAAACTGCACATAATGAAATGTTGTCATACGTTTATTTACCAAAAAAACAAAACAAAACAAAAAAACATTAGTACTTGAAAGACTGGATTTCGATTTTTAAATGTGTTGTAAGGGAATACTGATATGTTTATGTTTTAAAAGCTATTACAGTATTACAGTAATGAAAATATGATATGTTTTGGTAAGTTTATGATGCAATGCATTTCTCAAAATGTAAAAATTGTTATTACATTATGAGCTCAGGATTTTATTACATTTTGAGAAAATTATTAAAGTATGAAGATTTTATTACAACCATTATGAGTTGCTACTATTTATATATATATATATATATATATATATATATATATATATGTGTGTGTGTGTGTGTGTGTTAATATAATATAAGCATATACGTAACTGTGAATAATTAAATAGCATTGTGTAAATACATTTATAGTAAATGTATTTACATGTAAACAAATTGACATATAATAAATGCATTATAAATATGAGAACACTTGGATTACAGCAATGCGGGCAGAATCCACCACACGAGCAGCATTTCTGTGTATTTTAGTGCTGGACTTCCAAGCACTATCCTCAATATTTTTTTCTTTGTTTTTAACTCTCTTTTTGAGGGTTAAACTGGCAAAACATGTTTTACATGTTTTGCAGCTGGCATTGTTGAGTGCCTGGCAGTGGGGACATGGTCTCTGTTTTGGTTTTGTCATTTTGCTCTAAAAGAAAAAAGAAAGAAAACATTACAATGCAATCAAATAAAGTGCAGGCAACTGCTACTGTTTAAAACATGTTAAAGGAGTAGTTCACTTTAAAAAAAAAAAAACTTTTGCTGATAATTTACTCATCCCCATGTCATCCAAGATGTCCATGTCTTTCTTTCTTCAGTCGAAAAGAAATTAAGGTTTTTGATGAAAACATTCCAGGATTTTCTCCATATAATGCACTTCAATGGGGTCCAAACGGTTCAAGGTCCAAATGACAGTTTCAGTGCAGCTTCAAAGGACTTTAAACGACACCAGATGATGAATAATCTAGGACCCTTTGAGTCACGAACACGCATCAGAGAACAGAGCAAGCCAGCAAGGCGAGCATTTGTGCTTATAAAACTTAAAACATTTTTATTTATTTTTTAAATGAGTGATCGTTTCGCTTGATAAGACCCTTATTCATCGTCTGGTGTCGTTTAAAGTCCTTTGAAGCTGCACTGAAACTCTCATTTGGACCTTGAACCGTTTGTTTCCCAGTGAAGTCCATTATATGGAGAAAATCCTGGAATGTTTTCATCAAAAACCTTAATTTCTTTTCGACTGAAGAAAGAATGACATGAAGCTATGAGCTATAAGCTCTTAACCCATTGGGCCCTATTATAACGATCTGAAATGCAAGTGTCAAAGCGCAAAGCGCAAGTAACTTGGGCAGATCCTGGCGCTGTTGCTATTTTCCCAGCGGAAAAAATGCCTCTTGCGCCTGGCACAAATCTAAAAGGGGTTGGTCTGGAGTAGCTTCATTATTCATAGGTGTGGTTTGGGCGTAACGGAAATAAACCAATAAGAGCGTCATATCACATTCCGTTTAAGAGCGTGATGAACGAGGTGAGCTTGTTCAACCGGAGCAAATCTATCATAAAGGTGCATTTACCAGGCGCGCTTCAGAATCGGTTCACAGCCGAGGAGATCGATATTCTCGTCAAGGCCGTAAAAGAAAGAGAAAGGGACAAACACACCCAAATTAGCTTCGGTTAAATATGCATATAATAATTTGGGTAAATGTGTAAGCTTTATGCCTATTTTTGCCATTGTCATGGACACAACAATGATTTCCCTCGTTTTGATATATTTTCCTTATAATAATGTTTCATTTGCAAAAAGTAATATGCATCTGTGTAGATGAGAGAATCATCTCTTCACACTCTGTATTATGGCCAGGCATTAAAATAGCATCTGAATGTACTCGCAAAGCGACACTGATATTATACCAGGTTTTTTTCTGGTCATTGGCGCAATTGTTTTCTGGAACTGCAAATTGGAACTGCAAATATTGCGCCAGGTGCAAGATAGAGCCCATTAACAGACCTATCAATCATTTGGTAGAGCACAATTTGAGTTTTGTACCTAACGTTCTCTGTTTGGATGCTACAGTAATAGGAGACAGTGTAGTGGTGTGGACAGAAAATTAATAAATAAATTTATAATTAGATATTTCTTTGACTGGATGACATAATGTACTGTATAGATCATGTGAAAGAAATAGGCTACTTTAAATGAAAATCAAACAGTTAAGTATTTTTTTTTTTTTTACTTATCATTACAGAATGTGTATTAATGCAAATCCCATAAACACATAAGTCACATATTATGTTTAACAAATGTACATACACTTGTATAAATTATATATGTCTTTGAATGAACATAGACCAAGTCAATATTAAATGTAAATAATAAAAAGTTAACCATCCATTCTTTAACTTGTCTATTATGGCAGTCTGACACAAATCCCAGGTTATAAAGTTGGCTATTAGCTAGCATGCTAACACTTGACGTAACAGGCCTAATTGGAACCATTAGCACTATAGTACCATAGCTTCAGGTGTCATTAGCACCCGTCAATAGGTTTTGGGTATAACGATATATATACAATATACCCTGACATATAACAGCCTTGATAGACGTGTGAACATGATACACAAAAGTACAATAAATCCAGAAACTGACATTTTGTAATTTCTGTAACAGAACCTACCGTGCAAACACGAGGTATCGCATTGGAAAGTGCGACAGGATTTACCGCGAGATACCATAAAAAGGAAGAAGAAGAAGAAGAAGAAGAAGAAGAAGAAGAAGAAGAAGAAGAAGAAGAAGAAGAAGAAGAAGAAAACTTTCTTTGGTGGAATTGCTTTCTTTTACTTTTTATTTTATTTTTTAAAAGTACAATATTTAAAATGTCTTCATTATAAACCAACAATTATAATTGTAAAAATTCCCTGTTGATTTTGTGTAAGAGTTATGTTTTGATTGGCCAACAAGAACCAGTAAAAGCGCGAAATATAAAAACGATAATACACGTGATAATATTCTACAGATAACATTAGCGAGCTGATAATTAATTTAATAATGTTCCAGGCATCGAATGTAAAAATAGCCTAAAGAGTAAATAGCAGTCAAAAATACATTAACCATTATAAATATAAATGTGCGTGTTTTAATATTTCACTTTTTTTTTTTTTTTACAATAAGAAACAGGCCAGAGGTATAACAGAGACAATACACAGTAGACCTAAACAATCATTTAATTATGTATTATTTAAAAAAAAGGAAATATATGTATAAACATGATACATGCATTATAGATTTTAATGCTTTGGAGTTGCTGGAGTTTCCAGATAAAAGTCTTTACAGATAACGAGGATTTATAGACTGCAAAAAAATAAATGTAGAATCTTGGCTATAAAAAAAAACAATTTAATAGGCTCATTTATTTCTTACCAGAGATTTAGAAAATTGCGATGACGAAGAATCTGTTAGCTATATGTTAGATATATCTGTAACTGTTAGCGGTCTAATTGGCCTTTTCCGTCTTAATCTGACGCAAAAGGCAAGCAATTGATATCAATGGAGTTCCTTGATCGTCAATAAAGTGACGCCTAGGGGTACTTCCGGCGTCTTCATACTGACGCATAGAGTTATGTTTTGATTGGCCAACATAAGAACCATGCCGGTAAAAGCACGAAATATCGATAATACACGTGATAATATTCTACAGGTAACATTAGCGAGATGATAATTTAATTATTAGAAAAATATCATACAGAGCAAATAGCAGTAAACAAATACATTAAGCATTATACATATAAATGTGTGTGTGGTTTCATAATTCCCATTTTTTCACAATAAGAAACAGGCCAGATGTATACCAGAGACAATACAATGTTGAATTCACAGTAGACCTAAACAATCATTTAATTATGCATTTTAAAAACGCAAATATATGTATAAGCATGCATTATGGATTTTAATGCGTTGAAGTTGCTGGGGTTTCCAGATAAAAGTCTTTACAAATAATATTAAAACGAGGATTTATAGACAGCAAGAAATAAATCTATGTAGCTATAGAAACTTGGCTATAAAAAAACATAAATTTAATAGGCTCATTTATTTCTTACCAGAGTTTTAGAAAATTGCGATGACGTAGGATCTAATTTACCTTTTGCGTCTTAATGTGATGCATAAGGCAAGCCATTGAAATCAATGGAGTTCCTTAATCGTCAACTAACTGACGCCTTGGGGTACTTTTAGCGTCTTTATTGTGACTCGGAAGGACCTTGACCATGCTTCAGTTTTTGACGCCCGGGGAGTGAGAATGGGTTGCATATGAAGCCCAAGGCGTGCCTTGCCCATTTGGGTTGCATGCACACTCAATTAGAACTGTTGCTTCCTTCTGGGCGCTGGCTCAAGGTGCCTCACTGATAGATATATGTAGAGCTGTGGGCTGGGCGACACCTCACACATTCGCTAGATTCTATAGCCTCTGTGTAGAGCCGGTATCTTCCTGTATAATCGCCCCCAGTGGCCAGTAGTGCGAAGGACCTGTTCTTAGTGTCAGCTTGCAACACCACTCCCACCCCTATGGGCCGGATATGTGTGTCTTTTTGCTGCAGTAGTGTTCCCCAGAAATGGCTAACCCAGTGAGTTCCTCCGTCACCCCTCTGGCAGTCAGACGTTCTGGAGTGTCTGATGCTAGACCTACACTTGTATGCTTGTGGAACCTGTGTTATGCTGGCTCTACAAATGTAGCGGTCCCTGTGGTGACTGCCATCTGTTGTACTACCCTGCTTGGCTAATCCATGTGTATCCATCACGGTGCCTCCTTCTGGGGTAATGTAGGAGCCTAATTTTGATTTTTTTTCAGTGACAATTATTTCATATTATGTGTTGTATTTTAGTATTTTAATATTTGTGTTTTGATTGTAACTTTCTTTCTTTGTGTGTACTAATTAGACAAATATTCTCTATATTTACCTTGAAATTTGGTACGTGTAAAAATTGTACTTTGGCCCTTTAAGAATTGCGACTGTAAGTGAGGCGGTTGTGCGTTCTGTATAGGAAATAGAGTGGTATTTAGGATTTAAGATTATATTTGTTTTCTTTTCTTTTCTTTGTTTTATTTACTAACGAGTTTGGATTAAAGGAAGAATTTGCATGAAGAAAACGGTGCATGTAAATTATTTTAGTTTTAATTGGACACGGAGCGAGTTGACTGGAATTCTTGCGATGCGCACTCACAGGTAGGATGTGGCTTCTACAGTGTTCCCTTCCCAAGGGCACACTTTCCCAGCGTTATCCAATAAGTCACACTGAGTGGGTCTTGCAGAACAGCAGAGACTGAACTTCTTTGCTTACAGCTCCGACTTCAGCCCCTAGTTAGGCCAGGAGGCTCAAGCGGAGCGCTGCAAGGGCCAGCAGCCAAATGTTCCCTCTAAGCTGCGCGCGTGCGCAGCCGCGTAAAATAATAAAATGCCACGTAGAAGAATAACGGTTGATGGACACAGAACGGTGAAGATGTTTTTGTGTGTCGGGGAGTTTTAGGCATGGTTATATTAATATAAAAGAGTTCAGATATTCACTTTTCTTGAAAATATTTTGCTATTATATCTAATTATTTAATGCTTCAGTTTGTTTTCATATTATAATAATATAATATGTAAACAAATTGAATCATTTAAACTGATATATTATATCACTTCAAATACTTTAAAAATACTTTATATTATAACCCTAAATAAATAATCTCACAAAGGTATTATTTGGTTTATATTCGGCCTATGTTTTATTATATTATAAGCCCCAATAAAAAAATAATAATAATCTCACTAGGGTGTTGTTTAGGGCTCATTGCCATTAAAAAGTTTGAAACCCCCTGCTAAAGAAAATATTGGAAATTCATAACGAATAAACAATCATTTAACTTTTATGGTTTAATTTGTATTATTGGAAATTCATAAGGAATAAACAGTCATTTAACTTTGATGGTTTAATTCGTATTATTGGAAATTCATAAGGAATGTACAATCACTTAAATTTGATGGTTTAATTCTTATCAAAGGGCATATTGCAGGTTAGAGGACCCAACGAGTCAATGCATAGAAAAACACTGTAGGAACTAGATTTTCTTTAAAATATACTTATAAATACGCTACAGAAGCTTCTGGAGTCGTTTTTGTGAGAAATTTTTACTTCCGCGTCTGAAAATGGGCGTGGCGGCCGTGACGCAATGAGCGGGAGACTGGGGAGAGCAGACAATTCACACAACAGGAAAACAATGGATCGCAATGACATTTCAGATGCTGAGGAAATACTCGTATGACTGATCAAGCCATAAAGTTATGAGCCTGCTATGCTAAAGAGAGCAGGGACAGGCCAGGATAATGTCAGACAGAACGGTCAGAGACTAATTGAGTTGTGGTGTGACAGGCCTGAGTTTATGCAACCTCCACAAACACAATAATTTACCATGACGATGATAAATTAAAATACAAAAAGTACCGAAAGCACACTGACAGAAGACCACGCTCACTGAATACCAGCCTACTTCACTGAGCCGAGGCTGCGGCTTCCTGATATTATGTCAAATGACGCAATGTTGAAAAAAAAAGCCGTTTTTACTAGCAGTCCAAGAAACGCTCACTTTATCTACTAAATTAGTGCCCTTATGTTGTTTTAAAACATTTTAAATCCTGAATTAACTTTTCATATGCTATTTTCATACAAGGTTATCTATTAATTTAGATTTTTTTTTACCTGCAATATGCTCTTTAAACCATCAAAGTTGAATGATTGTTTATTCCTTATGAATTTCCAATATTTTTTAGCATGGGGTTTCAAACTTTTTAATGGCAATGAGCCTTAAACAATACACAACACTAAATGCTTTTCCCAAACCATCTCAGTGTAACAGCTTACTTTTCTTTCTTACTATATTCTATTATTGTAAACTGTCCTGCAGAAGATTTTTTTAAATTATTTTTCATATGATTTCTTGGTAAAGACTGTACAGTTAACAACACTGTAAAAAAAAATAATCAGATAACCTAAAATGTGTTTCATTTAGTGACTTCTTAATTAATTGCTTGTTTTTCAAAAATATGATTTAATACCAATAAGGTACATCAAGGGTCAAATCAGGGCCGGCTTTGCCGACAGGCGACACAGGCGGCTGCCTGGGGCGCCATTTGCTGGACGGGGCGCAAATTGCAGAATTGAAAAAAAAAGTTAATTAAATGTATGTATCGTATGATGAAAGCTGCACACACGCTGTACACTTTTACTGTGCATTGTCCACACACTGCTTGTTTTTGTACATTTCTTTTACAAGATTATACAATCCTAAAAAACGACTGAGTCACTCTGACAGGCAGCTGTCAAACTCACGCGCGTTGCTCAGCAACCGGGAACATCTGACAGCTGAAAACATCTGACAGCTGGTTTTAGCGCTTTAGTTTCCTCGGTGTGTTCCACGCGGTTCCTTGCCGTCGGCTCAAAATAGTCCTCGTCGGCTTTGTTTCGCCCGATTCGACATGTTGACAAGGGGATGCCCGCGTATATTCAAAACGGTACGCATGCGCTGCTTTGTTTACGTTATGTGTAACGTTATCTGCGGCGGCAGCGTCGGTTTTCCTTTTTGAATGACGAATATAGACTAATATATCTGCAGAAATAGAAAGTTGTCTCATTGCACGCAGACGCAGAACGCACATTCTAGTTGACAGTCGCCTGTTCTCTTTCAGTCATGGTTCAAGTGCAGCTTTTTACCCCGACGAGAGGCGACATCGGCTTTCATCAGTGCTAGTTCGTCGGCATTATACCTTCACTTGGTCTTCGTTTCCTGTTTACACTTCTGGGCTTCGGCCCGGGGTATATATGACCCCAACAATTTATTGAGTAATTGTACAAAAAATATACATTATTATATTTTTTTGTTTACTTCTCATCTATTCATTAATGCTGTGTTTTTGGAGATATACATTTTTATCCATTTACCACACAATTCCTCAACTACACCATTAGCTTGCATATGAAATATTATTTTTTCTTCATATGTGTAAAAATGTTCAGATTTATGACGGATTTATATATATATATATATATAGGGGGGGGGGGGGGGCACTCTCGCCTTGGGCACCAAATAACCTAGAGCCGGCCCTGGGTCAAATAAAATATAAATGGCACATTCATGTTAAAAGTTACAACTGAATGTTGAAACCATTGTGTTTATACATGTTGTACAGGTATAGGTATACTATGTATACAGTAGTTACAGGTACAAAGAATATTTTTGCTCAGGTGGTGAAAAATGTCCGCCCAATAGAAAAAAAAATTTGCTCAGCAATAAAGAAAATTAGAGGGAACACTGCAGCAGCCGTGGTGTTTTGGTAGATATACCCATTCATCAGAATCACTTTTGATTCACGTCTAAAAAATAGACACTTAACAGGATCGAATTATGTATAACACTTATATTTAAGATCAAAATCAGCAGAGTATTTTGAGTGTCTTTTGCACTTATAAGAAAAAAATTAAATATCGCCAACCCCAGAGGGTTAACGTCATATAGGACAGCCTAGTGTAGTGTATTGTTGGGGATATGCTACACACACAGCCAAGACTAGAAACCAATTGAGACCTGAGCGGATGAGATCAGCGTATCCGCCTAGTCACGCTAAAACACAAGATCCACTTGTCCTGTGGTATTGACATTTTGTGTTCCACGACTGCACTCTGCAAACCAAAGTGGATGTTGTAAATTTACCTTCTAACCCGAGAGTCGCCAATTATGAGATGTAGAAGTTTATTGCTATGTAAGCGCCTAGAAATATGAGTCTCCTTTCCAGCATCCACCTCTGCTTTAAACCGTAATCATAATGTATATAAAATAATCCTTCATCTTAGTGAAACATGGAATTATTAATTTATCAGCTTTCTGGACGCGGTGATTGAAACGGTGCACTCTGAGCTCCGGTGGCATCTGTGCCATGCATATTTTGACATAAATCTGATGAAGAAATAAATAAGTAGAGTGGGATTAGATACGTTCCCGCTCAGCAGCCCTGAGATACTGATGTTAATTTCATATCTCATAGCACATCATCTGATCCTGATAGAATTTCTTCCAAAAAAAATACAGACCCGGAGACAAAACCCACACACACACACAAACTCTCTCTCTCTTTATTATGAGTCACTCTTGAAAAGGCCTCTGGCTAATAGTTCATCATTCATACAAGCAAATGAATTATTAAATGCCTCGCCACCTCGGCAAGGCAAATAAGTTGAAGAACAACTTGTCATCATCTTTGGTCCTTTGAGAGTCTGTGTGGATAGAGAAACCATAAGCAAGTGTGTGGACTAGAAGCCTAAATTTCACAAATAATTACAAAAAAAAGCAAAGTAAGTAACATAAAATTAAGCGAAATATTCAGTAAAAAAAATTGAAATAGTATTTTTTGTCAAACTTAGTCCAATAATATTTGTTTTATTTACAACAAAAAATTCAATCATTTATGTGTATGGGTGTAAGGGCATGGCCACATTAACAATAGGGGTAGCAGGGGGCCCGTGACTGGCTTTGGAGCAGATACTACTAGCCATCTGATTGCCAAAGCCTTTCCACGCAACGCCCCCCACAAATTAGCCCTGTTATTTAGTGGCACTTTGCCGTATATTCCATGCATTATCATGGAATCATTATCATTAATATTATAGTGACCGTTCGCAAAGACCCACCTTTTTTAGTTACTGTGTGACAAGCCAGGTGGCTCTCACAAGTCACGCACACTCACGCAGTGAAAAATACCAAGGG